GCATGGCTGGCTGGGGAATTCTGGGAGTTGAAGTCCACCCATCTTCAAGGTGCCAAGGTTGGGCAACACTGATCTATCCTGTCTAATCATCAAAACCTTAAATCACGAGTTCATTTTTTTTCTGTTTCATGTAAAAAGCCCATAAGGGGTTTCCAGTCAGCAATAAACATAGATTTTGTCTTTTCTCTGATCAAGGAAGTCAATGTAGCCACCAGCTGCGGCTTTGTTTTGACTGGTTGCTCATTGTACGCCATCCAGAGTCACATTTGTGCAATGGGCAGCTTTATATATCCGATAAATCAATCAATAAAAATAAACTCCTTGGATCAGGTATGAACTCCCCAATTTGCACCGCAGCTGAAAAAGCAGGGTTGGCATAAGAAGGCACAGGTTTACTTCGAGGAGAATCTGAAATGTGCTTTGCCAAAGATGCTTCATGATCCCATTCTTTTTTTTAAAAATTTTTTTAAGGCACTTCTTTATACCAGAAGAGGCCAACCTATTGCTGGATGGGGCAGGGGAGGGGCCAATGGAGAAGTGGGCGGGACTGCTCACGATGTGTGCAGAGCAGTCAGTTTATTAAAGTACAGCTACTAGGCGTGAGCTGCAAGACTTTGTCTGACCACTAGAGGGCAGCAAAGCAATACAGAATGGTAACTCTTCATTGCCACCTAGTGGCCATCTCAAGAATGCCCAGGTCTGCTCCTGGAGGGTTATTCTCATATAGAATACTATCCATTATTGCAATTGGGAGAGCTCAGAAGGACGCCCCCCCCCAAAAAATCCACCATTTGGGGGGCTGCATGCAGCTGGTGGGCTGACCACCCTAGCTGTACATCATCCTACATTATCCTTTAATTTATGTACTCCCCCCTCTTTTCCCTCCGTCACCCACCGTGCACTTAGCAATCCATCAGCACCTGTCATGGGGGAAGGAGCTCCACGACACATGGCAGCATATTGAATTTCATCGTGATCAGCCAAGATCTCCTTCTCCTTTTGTGTATTTAAAAAGAAAATGAAAAGAAAAGATGGGGCGGGGAAGGGAGTGGGTGGAATCATGTTAAAACAGTTTAACGTGACAGCGAGCATGAAAAAAGAAATGATGGCTTAAGATCACTGTTCCTTTTAGAATTAATTAATCCCCCTGGATGGCTTTGAAAAGCTTTGTGGATGTTCCTGAGCCAAGCAACTCTGTGTGGGGGTGAAATAAATTAAAATACAGATTATGGAGTCTTTGCTTTCAATGGGAGATGGGCAGAAGTTTGCAAGACCTAATGTCCTGTCCAGAGTCACTGGGAGTCCGGTGTCAGCCAGATGTTTACCCTGGATTTGGCATTTTTGTCCATCTATCGAGTCCTTCCCAAGGACCTGGGATAGGCAGATGTTGTTGTTTAATAATATTAAAGGTATCATTGCAAGATGTAAGCTGTTCCAAGTAAAGTTGCCTTTTGCTATTGATCAATGGTGATTTTGTCAATGCCAATGGTATTCAAGTGGTGCTCCAGATGTTTTGGAATTGCACCCAACGCACCTATTAATATTGGTACTATCTGTGCTTTCTTTTGCTACAGTTGTTCT